TTTTTCATAATACGGTTAAAGCTAGGAGGCGGAAGAATAAAATGATTGGCTTGAAGCGGGAGAATGGTGATCGGGTGACGGACCTAGAAGCTATGGGGACGATGATTCGGGATTATTTTTCTAATATATTTGTTGCTGCTAGCAGGAATGGCGACGCTAATGCTCTTAGCCAGTTTGTGAAGATCGGGTAGGACCAGAATAGGAGGCTTCTTAGGGAGATTTCGGCAGATGAAGTTAAAAATGCAGCGTTTGACATGCATCCGGAGAAGGCACCAGGAATGGATGGGTCGAACCCAGCATTTTTTCACAAATATTGGGACATTGTGGGGCCGGAAATAACGAGGTTGTGCACAGGAATTTTTAATTCAGGTAATATTCAACCTGAATTAAATGTGATGAATATAGTATTAATTCCTAAAAAAGATATGCCGAAAGGAATGGGGGACTGGAGGCCGATTGCCCTATGTAATGTTGCGTATAAAATCTTTTCCAAAGTCTTAGCGAACAGGATGAAAGGCTTATTGGGAGGTTTGATTGGGGAAAACCCAAGTACATTTATTCTAGGTAGATCCATAGTGGATAATATTATGGTGGCTTTTGAAATGCAACACTGTTTGAAACGGAAGCAAGGAGGAAAAGAAGGATATGTTGCCCTGAAACTGGATATGAGCAAAGCCTATGACAGAGTCAGTCGGGATTTTCTTTAGATGGTGATGTCTCGTATGGGTTTTGACAGTAGATGGATCGGCCTCATCATAGAGTGTATCAGTTCGGTCAGCTATTTTATTCAGTTTGGAAAAGATAGGTTAGGTCCGATTACTCCGGGATGTGGGTTGCGTCAGGGAGACCCTTTGTCGTCATATTTGTTTATTTTGGTGGTAGAAGGGTTGAGCTCGATGATACGAAAAGCTGAACAAAGAGGGGATATTCATGGCGTTGCGGTTTGTCGAGGGGCACCTAAGGTCTTTCATCTATTTTTTTGCGGATGATAGCTTTCTTTTTTCAATGCTACGACAGGGGAGTGCAACGAAATAAAGAAAATTCTAAATAATTATGAAGTGTTGTCGGGACAGTTAATTAACTACAATAAATCCAATCTAAGCTTTAGTCCCAATACCGAGGTCACGACCAGGTCTACTTGCTGAAATATATTGGGTATTAACATGGAGGGGGAGCAAGTATTTGGGATTACCTGGGATGGTTGGCTGAAACTAAATAGCCATTCTCGGCTATCATCGGGAAAGGATCCATAGTTGAATAAAAGGACGGAATAACCGGTTTTTGTTTAGAGCAGGGAGAGCGGTTCTACTAAAAAATGTGATTCAGGCAATGCACACTTATGCGATGAATGTCTTCCTGTTACCGAAAGAGCTGTGTGATGAAATTGAGAAACTCATGAACGGCTTATGCCTTCTGGTGGAGAGGATCCAAGCTTGATCAGAAAGGCATGAGATGGAGAACATGGACACACTTATGCAGGCCGAAGGAAGCAGGAGGATTAGGCTTCAAAAGACTTAGGGATTTTAATCTAGCTATGTTGGCCAAGCAGGGATGGAGGTAGATAAATGATGAAAATAGTCTCATGGGACGGGTTATGAAGGCAAGGTATTATCCTAATTCTAATTTTCTTCAAGCCAAGTTGGGTAATAATCCGTCTTTTGTGTGGAGAAGTATTTTAGAAACGCGGGATATTTTAAAAATGAATACGCGGAGAAGGGTGGGGAATGGAATTGATGTTGATGTTCAAGTCTGGACAGATGCTTGGCTACCGGGGAATGATGAAGGTCGTATTACTTCGGCTAGACCCACTGGGATACGGGACATGAATGTGGCTGCACTGAGGAATATCACTGGAAGGGAATGGAATAGAGAATGGATCCAATTAATTTTTAATGAGTCAGACAGAGAAAGAATTTTGAGCATTCCTTTGAGCAATGTTGATCGGCCCGATAGCTATTGGTGGAAGGGGGAAATTAACGGCAATTATTCAGTAAAAGTTGCTTTAAGCTTCAGATGGAAAATTTGCAAGCAACGGACGAGAAAGTTTGGCGCCATTTATGGGAGTCTAAGGTACCACCTAAATTTAAATATTTTGTTTGGCAGATTATGGATGGTTCAATGCCTACGGTGGACAATCTGCGAAGAAGAGGGATGACCATTCAAGGGGGGCATAAATTGTGTGACGATCAATCCAAGTCACCAAATCATGCTTTCAGAATATGCGGCTGGGTGAGGGCGGTTTGGCAGGCAGCGGGCTTCCCAATCGAAGAGGAGAAAATTTTTGAGATTTGGTTGTCGGGGAATATATCCGAGAAAGACAAGGAGAAACGAAGTAGGTTCATTGCCACCTTATGGGGGATATGGAAGAGAAGGAATAATGCAGTCTGAAAAGATCAGAAGGATGATGCAACAAGTGTTATTAATGTTGCGGTTGGAATGCTAGCAGGCTGGTAGGACGCTCAAAGCAACGGGAGTATTCAACATGGGGTGGGCCGAAGGAAGGAGGAGAAGTGGGAAAAACCGGATAAAGATTTTATTAAAATCAATGTGGATGGTGTTGTTAATGAGCAAGGAAAAATCCGAGCTTGGGGTTGGGTGGCACGGGACGAGTATGGGTCCTTTGTTAAAGCAGGCGGTGGGTCGATCAGCACCAACTGGACTGCAGCGGAAACCGAGACGGTAGGTTTGAAGGCTACAGTTGAAGAAGCCCTGGAAGCAGGATGGAATAAGGTGGAATTTCAGACAAACACTATGACTATTGTGCAAGGACTCCGACAAGGGGAAGGTTTCTCTTATTTGCATATTGTTTTGGATGATATGAGGAGGTTGTTAGATACAAAGAGTAATTTTTTTCTCTTTTTATAAACGATCTGCGAATCGTGCAGCTCATGCTTTGGCAAAAACTCACGTTAATATCTCAGATCAAGTGAGTAGCTTCGATATTATGCCCGATTGGCTAATGACCTGTTGAGTTAATAAAAGTTTGAATATGACGAGTCAAAAAATTGAGCTTATTTGATTCTATTAAAAGTATAAAATTTCCTTCATTAAGAGTAAATTAATAAAAAAAAGAGTAAATTAATCTTATTTTAAAAAGGAAACATTAATATTCCTATGTAAGGAATGCTATTGAGTCAATTCCCTAAATAGGACTAAAAAGTGTCAAAATTGCACAAATAGGACTACATTTTTTAAATTCCCTTAATAGGACTATTTATGTGTGTTTGGACAAATATATACCCTTGTAACTTGTGAAATGTTTTAATTAATAATAAAATCATAAAAAATAATAAAAAATCGAAAAAAATACTAAAAATCGTAAAACAATAATAGAAAATTAATAAAAATATTTGTTAAAAAAATTAAAAAAAAATATTTTTTTAAAAAAATTAAAAAAAAAATCGTAAAATTAAAAAAAAAAACATTACCACCCCTGCCACCCCCATCACCACCAGCTCCCATCACCGGAGAAAAATATGCCAACATTTTAAATAATACCATAATAATGGCATATTCAATGAAAATGTTGGCATATTGAAGAGTAATTATGCCATCTTTTTGGCATTTTCAGAAAAAGATGGCAGTTTTTTACCAAAAGTGGAAGAAATTTCACCAATCGGAGGTGGTGGTGCTGGGAGGCGGTGGGAAAGGTATCCATAATCTTTTTCATTTTTTTATGGGTTTTTACTATTTTTTATTATTTTTTAAAAAACAATTAAAAAATAAAAATTTAAATTTTTTATTTTATAAATGTTGTATAAATTTTTTATAATTTTTTTACGTTTTTTAAATTTTTTTTACATTTTTTATGATTTTATTATGAATTAAAGCATTTCATTATGAATTAATACTATGAGGGGTATTTAGGGTAGAAAATCAATGTTTTGTCCTATTTAGGAAATTTAAAAAGTAGTAATCCTATTTGTGCTTTTTAGGAACTCATTAGTCCTATTTAGGACAATTTATAAGATTATTATGACTAGGAGGAACCTATTGAGTGACCCCATTATTATGACTTCCATTGTTTAACATGCTTTCCTTTTTGGGATGAATTTAAGATTTAAGATTTTCCTACAATTTCCTCATTTAATAATTTTTTTTCTTAAAAATACTCAAAATAACCCTTACTTTCTTTTACTTTTCATCTTCTATTTCATTTTTTTTACAATCTCTCCTACTTTTTTTTGCACTTTCCTCATGAAATAATATACCCAAGCTAATGTAGCAATCTTTAGAATATGAAAAGAGCATGTAATAGGTTGCTAGGTTAGTGCATGATAATAAAAAAATGGGAAAATGTGCAAATAAACCCTCGAACTAACCGAAAAAGTGCAAATAAGCCCTTTTATAAGAAGCTCTGTCCAGTCGTCGCCATTTGGAGCGATTCTAGGTAGAGTTTTTTTATGAATTATTTTGAACATCTTCTTCACTAAGTCTAATTTACCCATACCAAAATTTTAGCTAAAAATTTAACCGGGAAGGCAGCCAAATGATTTTCTGAATTATACTGCGCTGTTTAACTGCTCAGTTATCTTCATAACATTTATTTGACTGCCTTTTCAGTTGAACTTTTAGCTGAAATTTGGTATGGATAAACTAGACTTAATGAAGAAGATGCTTAAAATATTTCATCAAAATATTCCACTGAGAACCACCTCAAATGGCGACGGCCGGACAAAACTTCCTATAAAAGGGCTTATTTGCACTTTTTCGGTAAGTTCGGGGGCTTATTTGCCCCTTTTCCCTAAAAAAAAATTGATTTATTTGCATATGGTGAATGGTGATGGAGACTTTGAGACTTGAGAGACTAAACAAATTTTATGATTAATTGAAAATAATAATTGCAACAACTAAAAAAATAGATTATTTGCACAACAATTTTTAGAGATCGTCAAAGGAGATACTCTTATACACTTCACTTATGTTTTATTTCTATTTATAGAATTTTCTCAAAAACATTTTACAATTTAAAAAGAAAACAAATTGTAATGGATTAGACAATCACATCTTATCGTTTATGTCTACATGCCATGGTTGAATGGATGATTGTAAGTTTGTCTGCAATCTACATTACTTTTCCATGTAACTTGCAAAATAAGAGTTGCATATGATACATTGCCTTAAGTAACAAATAATTTCAAAAATATGAATAAAAATTCATGATTTGTCCGTTGATCATACCAAAACCAAAACAAGGTTGTACTTGATGAAGTTGATCAAACACCATTTTTCCTTGTAGTACATAATATAATGATATGAGACTTTTAGCACCTAAAGCAAAAAGGGTACCAACAATAACAGTAAGGATCGGATATAGTAAGGAATGCCCAATGTCTGCAATGAGTAATGACAAGGACAGGCAGAGATGGACGTTACTCCTCCATGCGGTTTTCTTTGGACTGTTGTGAGACCTTGACCTTGATTGGCAAGGTGAGCGAAGGATCTTTTTGGAGAGCCGAAGGGGCTTTGACCATGTGGATACTCTGTGCAAGTTCCTTTGCATCAACTTTCTGGACATATTTAATCTTAGGTCTCTTCCTGGGAGATTTTTTAAGAAAAACGTTAATGCACATTTGTATGTGAGTGTGTTTACGCAACAATAACCACAAATATATCACTACATTAATACTTAAGGTCAAAATGTGACTTAATATTTTTGCAATGACTTTTGTGACCAGGATGGTATTCTTTTTCATTATCTGATAATACTATAGAAAAAATCTCTTCTGTATAAATGGATCCACCAGAAATTGTAGACAAATTGGCAAGAACATAAAAAAACCTGTTCTTGTGATGAGTAGCCTCCCTATCATCCCTGACTTTAACAATTTTCTTAATGGCCTTCAAAGTGTTCTCTGTTACATTCTTGTCATATCTTTCGGGCCTGTTTCGCTTCCTCTCAAATTCAAAGGTTGAGTCCTTCCAGTTTGAATATTCCAAGAAGAAATGCAAATGCATGAAATGTAGAGAACTGTCAGTAAATAAAACAGCAACAAAAAAAAGAAAAGAAAACCGATTGACACATTTTTTATGAAGATTAAATAGATGTGGCCTGCCTGTGTCATGTCTTTTCCATGCAACCGCCTATACGCCTTAGTCCACTTGACCTTGCGTGGATTTCTCTTCATCTTAAAGTTCTTGTGACATTTAGATCTACAGAACCTAAAAATCTGCAGATGAAGAAACACATGGATTATCATCAATAAAGTTAAAAAAATTATGAAAAAAAACACTCATTTAGCCATACAATAGATAAATCATATGCACAATCCCACAACAAACAATATAGCATTCGACTGTCAGATTTGTTTCTTAATCACAGACAATCAACAATATGTCTCCATATATTATTTTTGTGACCAATACAAAATTGCTAAATGAACAACAAAAAACACTACCTCCGTCACATTGGACATTGTCAAGTTAGATTTAGGTATGAAATAAGATAATTAAAAATTATGTGGTTGAAGTGTGTACCGAGAGGAGAGAAACGAGCAAGTCCACACATTATTTACATTAAAGGGAAAGTGATAAAGTTTGTAGGAAAAATAGATAAGGAAAGTTGACAAAGTCTAATGGGACGGAGGGAGTATGAAAAGGGGAAATTGCAAAACAAAAAGATCTTGTTTTACAAAAAAACAATCAGCTGAAGTAAATCTAATCATTATAACTTATATGAAAATGTCCCACAAACTAAGGTGAAAAGGTCAAAATCCAAATTATTGATGCAAATCTGATATTTCAAGGGACAATTGATCCCAATGGGCCGGACATCACTTGACATGTAAATATACAAGTCTTAGATACTCAAGCAAGTACATAACTAAGAAATAAGTAGCTCATTCTTGGGTAGCCTGACACACTGACAAGCTAACATACAATATGGAAACTTAAAAACTGTACATCAAATCGTGGCTTGAGGCCATTTAGCAAAAGAGCACACATTACAGTGTGCTGATTAGGTTCTTTTTGTTTAGTTTTTTGTAAATATTGTTAGGGTTATTAAGGTTACCAGGTGTTCAGCACAATTTTAAGGTAATAACAGGTTAATAAAAGGAAAAAAGGAGGAGAGAAGTCAGAGGCTTTGAGAACTAGAGCATCAATCTTTCTTCAGTGACCAAGTCGCACCCTCTGACATGACCCAGCTGCAAGCAAATGACGTACATGCCTCAACCTTTCTTCTACTTCTTTCTCATCTTCTTCTACATTTATTTTACTTCGTGATACCGAACTTTGTTTCTTGGGAGGCTTTTTTCCTGTTTTATTTCCTGAGTCTATTAGTTTTTAACAGACTCATATCAATATCATTAATTTTCTATATAGCTTTTGTTTAATTAATTTTTTCAGTTTATTTGATGTTTTATTTACTAAAGCTATACTTTGAGTTGTACTCCTATATTATCCTTTTGGTATTAATTTATTCAGTTTTAACATAAGCTATGGACATGATACTATGATAGTTTAGTAGCTTGCTAAATGTTTTCTACATTATGGTTTAAGTTACTACAGCTTAGATGAGGAGGAGATGAAAGGATGCCGCATGCATGGACACAATGCCAAATGAGTCAAGTGTTATGTTTTATCAAATGTAATTTTTGAACAGATACAATGAAGGGCGGGGGTTCAAAACAGCACCTCCCGCAATCCCTTAATAAAGTGACAGCAAGTTCAAAGGAGCCAGATGATGTTAAGCTTGACATCAGTCAACATATGATATTTGAGGAAAGATGAGGTCATGATGGCTCTTCTCATTATGCCTCTAACATGAACTGACTTAGCTTTTAAACAGGAAATGATAGGGACATATGAGATAATCACTCATTGGATTATGTCTTGTTACACTGTTTCAGTAAGCTTTTTGGGCACCGTGTGTACATGTCGTTTGGTTTAATACTATTCACCCTTAAGAAAATTATGTGTTACGATTGTCCTTAGTGTGGGGCTCCTTTTTATGGAGTACTGAATTTGAATGTGTTTTCTGATTTTGTCATGATGAACATGAGGAATCCCCTTGGCAAAAAAATAGAGAATCATTTAACTATGGTAAAACCTTTTTTATGTCTACTCAATCCAGGTACAAGCTTTTACAAATTATGAATGGTGACTTATACCCCTAAAACTTAATTCCTGGATTTTTTATAATACTTTACTAGAACCACTTGCCACTTGGCTACATAAGAATTCTACTTTCGAATATAATTTGACTTTTAAGTCAGGCTCTTTAAATATGTTCTTCAAACAAGACACTTTTTGGGACTAAGGGAGTAAGAATTATTCTTATATGTAACCAAATGTCTATTTGAAGGAGAACACCAGTTGTTTAGTTTTTTTAAAATAATGCACACTACTAGAAAACTAAACAATGTGTATTTATTTCTTGTGAATATAAACCACTATAAAGGATGTAATAAACCACTATACACTTCTGTGATTATGTGTTGAGGCAGCCAGGGAGGCAGAGAGACTAAACGACATGCATTTAGGACTCAAAACAAGGTCAACCGAGAAACAACTGAGAGACTAATTCTGAAAGTGACTAATTTCAAGGTTAACTTTCTCAACAAACAGTTGACACTCATCTAAACCAGATTGCATGATATGAAAATATTTAGTCCGAAAAAATGAAGCGGATACACTACTAAGCATTATGCAGTTATGCGCTGAATCCATATCAGTATACACTAGCATCCAATAAATTTGAATCATACTAAAAACCTAAATTTCACCTCGGGCTCAAACAAAGCAAGCTGACTTAATTTATACTTCTGTTTCCTAATAATAAACTATTACTTGAATACAGTTTATCAATCCAAGAAATTGATATATGTGTGTATATAAAACAATATCATACCTTTGCATCATTCCTAACAAACTGTATACCATGGCCAGGGTATATAGTGGATGAGCAAAACCAGCACTTCTCCAACCTCATCGTTCCTATTTAGTGTAGGACAAAAACACAAACCAAAAAAAAATGAAAGAACTGATAAAGATTGAACCTCAACAACACCCTCTAAGCTTGATCTATTCACTGCTGATAATATAGAATAAGATATGCACGAACAGAAAATACAAGACACGATCAAATAAGAAGACCAGTTGGTAATAATCGACCAACCTCAACGTATTAGACGAACGGCCTAAGCAGAAGGGAGATTGGGTTGGGTGTTTACGGGGGTGTATATAGAAGCGGAACTAGGTTAGGTTATTCCAGGGCATGTGATTTTCGTTAATTAAGAGCATCTTTAATGGCAATGTGGATTGCACCACACAAAAAATGGACACGTAATCGCTATAGACGGCCCGTGAAGCTGATATGGACGGACATCCAATTTCAATCCGATTGCATCTCCAATGGAATCAATCGTTTTTCTATTCTTTAAATAATACGGAGTACCTAACAACATTTAAATTAATTACTCTCCAAGTCTGCATATATATCCAAAACATATACGTAGTACTTCGTACGTAGTAAACCACATATATACATAGTCTCCTGCCACTACGGCCGGGAGGAGGAGCGCCGTCGTATGTCGCCACAAAACTCCCTAGCTAACCAATTCAGGTATTTTTTTTGGATGTAATATATAAATATATTTGTATTCGTTCAGATATATGAAGTATGACTCAAATGCACAAAAACTACAATGCTTTTGAAACTCCTCAACACAGAAGCATAAATAAAACTTTCGTTGTCTCTTGTGAGCACACACCAAATCCATGGCGGTCACTGTCTTCCTCCTAGCATAGTAGCATGCTGTATATGTAACCACATCATCAATGACATTTTCGAGGGGAAGATCTTCATAAGCACACCTCCTAGGTCTCTTCATAAATGGACCTCCGTTTTTGAGCGCCGGAAAATAAAATGAGCCCGAGAAGGAGATCGTCGGAGCAAAAAAGGGCTGCCGGCTGCTGCCGCGTAGACGACGAGCGACACCGTATCACAAAACGCTGATATTCGTCTATATGGTGGTCACTTTCTTCCTCCATTTCAACAGTCTCTTCATAAATGAAACCACCATTTTTCCAGGTGTCGGAAAATAAAACGAGCCGGAGAAGAAGGTCGCTGGAGTAAAAGGGGATGCCCAGTTGCCCACCGCCGCCGCTTAGGCGAGGAGTGCCGCTGTATCACAAGGACGGGACTGCTATAGGATGTGAGATTGTTGTCCTTGTTTGGTTACTACTGAGTACTGAAATCGGGTGTTGCTTTGCCGGAAAGGAAAAATTGAAGGAGCTCTTTACTTTTGTAGGTGTGCCGAAGAACTCCATATTTGTATAAATATGTCCGGAAAAATAATAATTAAAATACTCCGTAAATAGTTGAATAAATGATTTGATGACATGGCTGTTTGCTGGCCTTGCTGAAAGTAGAAGCCCGGGTAGACAGCCGCTCCTATTTTTCATTCCAGCTCAGCAACACAGAATGAATGCATGTTTCCGTTGGAGTGAGTAAGTTTAGCTCAAGGTCTCTATAGCTCACGTGGCAATTCATTTTTAAAGGATCCACAGCCCCACTACGGATGCTCTAATAATAATTGAGAAAGTTCTCAAAATAGAATTAAAAAATTTGAAAATTCCAAAATACGATTGTTATGTTTTTATTTCCAACATAGAAGTAATTACTGACAATTTTGAAAAATACTATCATGTTTGAAGTCTGGTACTGCCAAATCAATTTTGGAATTTTCAAACTCTTTTTAGTCCTATTTTGGGTAATATTATCATAATAATTCTAAGGAAAATTACCTTAAATAGGATTTAAAACGTTTGTATATTCCAAAATAGGACTTTCATTTTCTATTCTCAAAATAAGACTAAATACTGTCATGTTTTGGCAGTACCAGACTTTAAAGTTGACAGTGTTTTCCAAACATGGCCATAATTACTCCTATATTGGAAATAAAAACATGACAGTCCTATTTTGAAATTTTCAAATGTTTTTAGTCCTATTTCGGGAGTTTTCTCTAATTTTAAATCATTTAATTTGGCACGTTTTAAGTACTATATTCAAGTATTAACATTTATTATTATTATATTAGAATTCTGTATCAATTTCTAGTAGTTAATTTTGTATGATTTTATATGAGTTTACGATTTTACTTGCGGTTTGAACCAATTTATTAATGTTTTTTTTTTACTCAAGGGGGTCTGGGGAGGGGGGCCGATGGGGTCTGGAGTAATCGGGGCCAAAACTTACTCCATTGAGTTTCGAATCCTTATGTACCTAACAGGTTTCGAACTCGAAACCTCCCACTATGCACGGTATCACACAACCAGCTGGGCTAGAATGTTTGGTTGAACTGATTTATTAATGTAAAATTGTAAAATCGTACAATTTTAGGATTGAGACTTTGACAACATTGATCTAACCTTTATTAAAAGGCTTTTTTTTTGAAAATTTTATTAAAAGGCTTTTACATTTGCAATTTAGACCTATATGAGGTGTAAAAAATTTACATTAAAATTTTAACCTCATATGTAAATATAATAACTGGTCAATTAGAACCAATATGAAATGCTTGTTATGAAATACATAGTATGTTTTTTCCACTGTTGAAAAATGAGAAGAAGACGTGTTACAGTTCTCAAACCCGCCTTGATTTTTTAGTCTCAATGTTTTAACGGCTTTTTTAATTCTCTTAATAGTTTTTTTAGTCAGACATTATTTTGTTGGTGTTTTTTTTGTTGGTGTTTTTCTAGTTTTCTAGCTCGGGCACCAGTGATCGGTGTTTGATTTTTTATTTTAATTTAATTTACTTGAGTTCTAGTATTTTAATATGAGTCATTTACAATAAAATAAAGGGAAAATGGAAACTAATAATCCAACCTTTTAGCGGTCTTCTTTTAATAGTCCGACCTTTTCGTTATTCATGAATAATCCAACATTTGCACCTCATTTTCATTCATTGGTCCCCGACCGGTTGATGACCTGCTATTCCGAGTTATTTTCTTATCTCTGTTAACTATTATACCATAAATTCCACCTTTCACAAAGATAATATTCTGCAAAGATAAAAAAATAACTTGGAATAGCAATATTTTTTTCTTATAAGACAATATTTTTTACAAGAATATTACTAAAATAAAACATATTTACATAAATATGACTATTCATTACTACAATATGGTGTTATGGTAACTTAAGCTCAAAACTACTCTAGCCACTAGTCATATTTTTGTAAATTATCTTTATTTTGGTCATAATTATTTCATAATGGAATAGCAAAGTTTTACAACAAAAAAAAACCAACCTACCTCAATAATAAGTTGACTGATATATAGAATTATAAATGAATTCTACAATTCGAATTATAGGAGCCATATTGTGCTTTTAGCATAGTAACCAGGACATAGGTTCATCTCTTTTAGCACACTTTATTTACTAGTTGTATGTGAACTTGTGATGTGTTCCCTTACTTTATACTCCCTCCGTCCCAGGGAGAAGTTCCCGGGTTGACTTTCACACATATTTAGGAAATAAAGTTACTGAGGGGTAAATTTTACTGTTTGGCACTGTTTCGACACTGTTTGGCACTGTTTTGACACTGTTTGGCACTGTTTTGCACTGTTTGACACTGTTTTGATGTAGGTTAACTTTCCATTTAGGGGAAATGGGAACTTTTTGTTGGGACTACCAAAAAAGGAAAGTGGGAACTTCTCCCTGGGACGGAGGGAGTAAGATTTAGTTCAGACTAGCAATCATGTCCATTAAGGTTAATTTGTTTGATTGCAAAAGTTGATTATCAAGTGTGTTCAAGAAAGAAGAGATCTAATAATGTGTGAGACACTTTGTAACTTGAAATAAACAGTTACAAAATCTATGTGTTATAAGTTAAGTTACAATTTAGATAGTACATGATACTTAAATAATCGAGTTGATTTAAGGAGATTTGGATAGGCTAGCCCCTATGTTCTAAAAATCGTTCTAGGCGTCCGACTAGTCCCCGCCTAGGCGCTAGGCGGTGGCCGGGCGCCCCGATTTTCGGGAAGACAGTCAAATTATTTTTGGAAGATAATTGCACCCTTTATATACATATAAAATGCAGTTATCTTCCAAAAATCTTTTGACTGCCTTCCCGGTTGATTTTTTGCTGAAATTTGGTATGGATGTACTAGACTTGATGAAGAACATGCTCAAAAAATTTTATCGAAAAATTCCACCGGGAAGGCCCTCAAAACGTGGAGGCCTCACGGCGGCTCCGGTAAGGTATACCTTATGTGTGTGTGTGTGTGTGTAATACATAGTATTATACTCCATCCGATTCAAAAACAAGTTCCACATTTGACTTCACACATATTAAGAAAAGAAATTTGACTTTAATGTAGAGTGCATTGTTTGGCACTGTTTGACACTGTTTGGAACTGTTTTGATGTAGATAATTTGCCAAATAAGGAAAGGTTTGAAAGTGGAACTTAATTTTGGAACTGCCTGAAAAGGAAAGGTGGAACTTCTTTTTGAATCGGAGGGAGTATATGATAGTATAATACACACACTCATACATATATATATATATATATATATATATATAGGAAAATATTCAAGTAAGGTAGGCCTAAGAATTGAAATCCTTAGGCCTCTTTCATTTGAGGTGCTTCTGAGATGAATTTTTTGATGAAATTTTGTGAGCATGTTCTCCATGAAGTGTTGATTATGCCCACCAAATTTCGAAAAAAAATTCAATCGGGAAGTCGGTTTAATAATTTTTTCAAAATTGCGCAGGTTTTTACATATATAAAATACAGTTTTTTTCAACAATTTATTTAAATGACTTCCCGATTGAATTTTATTGTGAAACTTGGTGGACATCATCTTCAATCCATGGAGAATATGCTCACAAAATTTCATCAAAAATTTCAACCCGAAAGCACCTCAAATGAAAGAGGCCTAAGAATTACAATTCTTAGGCCTACCTTACCTCAGCATTGTCCTATATATATATATAAGAGTTTTTACAAGAATATTATTAAAAAAAACTTATTTACTTAAATATGACTATTCATTATTATAACATAGTGTTGTAGTAACTTAAGTTCAAAACTTGAACATGAATCCCCTCCTTAATAGCACTACAACTTTATGAAAAAAGTTCCCGCTCACCCGAACTCTAATTATCATCCGCCGGATGCTATGCACCTTAATCTACGGTTCTCACTTCCTCTTTCTTTAGCTTCCTTCTACATCTCTAATCACCCCAAACGCCTGAAATTCCGTCATTTGTATCATCCCCGTCGATGAATTCTTTTTCTAAAATCTGAATAACCTCAACAAATACCTATGATCGCTTTAATTAGATCTACAGCGTTCCCATTTCTCGAATCGCTTCTCCCCTCACTCAAACCAAACAGCTCTCTCATCTCTACCGTCATTGAAACAAAATGCTTGATGAAGGGCGGCAACATTGGCTGAAATTGCAGAGGAAGACGACGCCATGATTGCAATCGCTCCTCAGGTTCTCCTCTCTCTCCTCTCCCCTGTCCGTATATCTTGTATC